TATCTTCTTAGCCATCCCACAACATTTCTTCCTTTGTACCCTCTGTTTATTTTATAAACTGAAAACAGACTTAAAAGAGATGAGAATATTTGCAGGCTAGAAATATGATATTCTGTTATTGCGGGCTTGTTATTTTTGGATATTATTTTAGGCCTATTTTAAGAGAAGAGACGATAACATTGGTTTTTCTTTGATCTCCGGCTGTATCAACCTGATTGAAATATACTTTTGGTGGTTTACGTCTTTGATTTGATATCTTTTGCATACGTTATTAAAAGAAGGTTAATGAGCTTTTAGAAGGTTTTTGTATTAAGAGACTTTAGCTAGATTGTTATATTATAATGACATGAGAACTGACGTTGATTATAAAACATCAGATGTTTTACAGCAGTAGTTAACTTTGTGATTCATTTAAGCTTATAAGTTTCTTACCTTAATAACTTTGTGATTCATTTAAATTTATATTGAAATATTGAAGAATCATTCCTTTGGAGAAAAGGTTTTTTAAAAGGATATTTCTCTCGGTGAAATAGTGAGTTTCAATTGTCAGAAATAATTTTATTCAACAAAGGTTTCGGAAATCAGAAATTTCTTAAAAGGCCTCAAAAATAAATTTCTTTAAAAGTTTCAGAAATAAATTTCTTTAAAAGTGTTAAAAATCAGAAATTTCTTTAAAAGTCTTGGAAATAAATTTCTTTAAAAGTCTTGGAACTAAATTTCTTTAAAAGTCTTGGAACTAAATTTCTTTAAAAATCTCAGAAATGCATTTCTTCAGAAGTCTCAGAACTAAATTCCTTCAAAATTTCTTTAATTAATAGTCTCAGAACTAAATAGAACACGGAAATAAAATTCATAACAGGTGTAAAAAAAAAAAAACTCTTTAAAAGTGAATTATGTTGAGAGATAAATAAATATACAGGTCACGATTCTATGGAATACAATTACTGCTTATTCCTGAACGATGAGGGGGGTTGGATGGCTGAATGGTTAGCGTGCGCGCGCTGTATCATAAAGTCGACTGGCGTGGTTTCGAATCCCCGGTTGTACGTGACAAGGAGTAGGGTCGCCTGTCCAACCTCGTGGGTTTTCTCCCGAGTCCTCCGGTTTCCTCCCACTGGTGTGTGTCGAGTGGACGTTAAACCCCATTTCTCTCTCTCTCTCTCTCCTGAACGATGTTTTGACTGTAATAAACAGTAATTGTATTCCGTAGAACTGTGACCTGTATATTCCAGTTCAATTACTAAATACCATTTTAAACCTAAGGCAAGCCACATCATCGCAAATATTGAAGAAAGTAAAAATGTAGTAAGTCAGATCATCGCAAATATTGAAAATGTAGTAATTTAATGTAAAAACTTATTCAGATATAAAAAGAACCCATCTTGAAGAATGGGGTGAATTGTATGAATGAAATATAGAATTATTATCTAAGACACTTATAAAGATTGTAGTATCAAATATAAACTTGAAATGAACATAACTTACATTAGAATTGATTGACTTGAATAATTGTTGGACCAAAATGCTTTTTTTAAATTTTAATACAAGTAATTTTTATTGTGGTATGGTCTCAAAATCTATATTTTCTTGATATGTTACAGATTTAACATAATTAAATGTAAAACTCAAGAATGATTCTTTTGGATATCTATTTAACCTTTATTCGTTAATGTTGGACTTTTAATAATAATAATAATTTAAGAAGTTATCTTTCTGATTTATTTAAATTTAACACTAAAAGAATTAATCCTCAATAATTCAAACCTGTGTAAAGTATAATTTTATCTTTCAAAAAGTCTTCAGTGTTGAAAATTAAATTTTGTTAAATAAGTGAAAGCTGTCACCATATTGTACGTGACTGTCATTTACCATGAGCAGTAGTACATGTTGATGAAGTAGAGTGACAAATGAGGAAAGCTTGTTAAATCTTTGACTGTGTGGAAGATATTTGAATTATTACAGTGACAGAATCTACTCAACAAGCCTAGTAGTAGAAGTTACAGTTAATTATCATACCTGAGAGATTGTTTTAATAGTATACACCTGTAGTCGAGATGTAGATATAAGGTCTTACACAACGTCTGTCTTAATAGATAATGCTGTGATCTTATCTTAAATCTCTTACCTGAAATACTGGATTGAGAGGATTAAGCCCGATAGTGTTGAAATTAGAAGATATATATATATAGTTTGTTGTGAGGATTTAATTTAATTGTGTTTTCGATCGACAAATTGAAAGTAGAAATTTGATGAAGACGATCTATAGTTCTTGTGGGGATTCAACTTGGTCATGTTTTTGATCGACAAATTGAAAGTAGAAATTTGATGAAGAATATCTATAGTTTCTTGTGATTAATCTGTAATTTCGGAAAAAGAAGACGAAAAAAACGACAACTAGAAACGTATTAATGAAATATTTTTGTGAAGTTTGAGATTTTGTTTGAAGAGAACAAAAGTGTGGAGATGGGTGGTATTATGTCAAAAATTAAATGTAAAAAATATCAAAAATACAAGTATACAAAACAATCGGTTCAACAGTTTTTACTGGATTCAACTTTTAATACAGGTTAGAATGTGAAGTTTTTCTTTATTTTGTTCTTTTTTCTGCTGTTATTATGGGATCAGACAAGTAGTTTAATGTGCTGTACTCTACATGTACACTACATGTCTTCCATCCTCAGAGCTGTATTTAGTGCCACGGTGGCTAAGTGGGTAGACGCTGGCTCGCTAGCCTGGAGGTCGTGTGTTTGATCCCTGCATTGGCCAAGAAAGTTCATGGGGATTTTCCGACGTGGTTTCCCCTTGTCAGTGGTGCAGGACGGAGGGCTTGAAAAGGACAGCTGTCTAGTCATTCAAATGCTACGAAAAACTGAGGTCCCGTGTATACTTTGGCCTGCATGTAAAAGATCCCTTTGCAGTTGGAATTCATATAAGAGTAGGCTGTAGTGCTGCTGCCCAAGCAAAATGTCCCTCATAGCACACTGTATGGCGTATGCCTCTTTTCATTAGCCCAGTTGGAGCAGAACAGTAGGACATTAAACCCCATTTCATCAGAGCTGTATTTGATCTGACAATTGACTTAAGCAGGGTATGCTGTCTAGCTTATCTATTTGGCCCTGTGGTGGCTCAGTGAGTAAGGCACCGAGTTGATAACAGAAGGCCTTGGGTTCGCAGCTGGAATAGGCCAAGAAAGTTCCTTAGGATTTTTCTGGCGTTGTTTCTCTTTGTCAATGGTGAAGGATATAGAGCTTGATCATTCGAATGAGACGAGAAAACCAAGGTCCTGTGTAAATGTTGGTGTGCATGTAAAAGAACCCTTGACATTACAAATTCGAAAAAATTTCTCTTAGCACACTGCATGGCGTATGCCCGTCTTCATTTGTCCAGTCATTGGAGTGAAGTAGGATGTTAAACCCCATTTCATTTCAGCTCATTTATGTTCTGCCGCAGCCATAGTGGTCAAACGCATGCTTTGTAGATCATTAGTATAATCTCTTAACATTGAAGGGGGGGATTGAGTGGTCGAATGGTTTAACATGTACGCATTGTATCAGAAAGTCTTGGCATTGAGTCAAGTGGTGTGGTTTCGATTCCCTGATAGTATGTAACAAGGAGTAGTGTCGCCTGTTCAACCCCACCCCACCCTACCTCAAACCCACTCTTTTCCTCCAACTGCACTGCACACAATTTTAAATCATTCAATTAAAGATAAACTATATGTTAGTCCCAAAATGACTAATTTGTGTTGAGTGGACATTAAAACTCATCTCTCTAATATGATTCAGTTATTTGATTCTCATTATCAAATATTAGAAATTATAAAATTCTATTCATTTTCTATAATGTCAAACATGTGGTCTTTATTATCATATCTTATTCATACGAAAGAAAAGAAGAAAAGCTCTGATTATTGAACTCCCCAGAGAACTTTGAATCATACATTTATAAATTTGTGATGTGCATAATCTAGGAGAAATGGTTTTTCAAATTAGTTTCAATTTGAAATGCATTTTCTGACTCATTGGCTGCATTGTTTGTATGACTTGAGTCATTTATTTTACCCTTTGTGAAATATTGTAACAAAAAGATGTTTATGCAAATCCAGTTAAAGATTTTAATCTAAATGCATAAAATATCTAAATTTTCTGAAATATTATCAAAGGCTCTAACTATGTATTAAAGTATTGACATTATGTCATTTACAAAGAAAGTGTTGCCTAGTTGTACGGATGGGTCCAAAAACTGCCATCCCCACCGTGTACACACTGCAGTGCACGTAAAAGAACTCTTGGTAGTTGAAATGCCACTGTCTGTCGAAAATTCTCCTCCTAAGCATTGCACATTTGGACAGAAAAATAATAACCATATGTTAGTTTCAAAATGACCAAAAGATTGTGTTGACGAGATGTTGTACTCTATTCCTATCTTGATGTAAAAATTTGTGTTATTTATCGTCACAAGGCTTCCATGTTAAAATATGTAGAGATTAGATTGAAAGAAAATTGAGAAAAATAAAGATTCTCAAAATTTCTATCTTATTAAAGATACATTATGGAGATTTGATAATGAGTTGGCAGTTCTCACTATAATAGTTAAAAGCTAGATAATGTAAAGGCAATTTGCTGAAAATTTCATTCAAATTGATCCACTATGAACCGAGAACTAAGCGATTGAAATTTCCGCCTAGCCTCGATCATCATTACTAAAGTCAGTACGATAAACAGCATAGTCTCGATTATCCATTTAATCGTGAAATCGTGAAGGAAAGTTATGCAGTAAATCGGCTCATAATCCACTAAAGATCGCAGGCTAGCGATGCCATCTAGAGTTGATTATGATGTGGATAGGTTAATTAATGTCTAATTAATAATTGAGATAACATTTCAGGCCTAAAGAAAGACCTGCAATAGACAAATTTAGCTCTTGCATAATGTATGTTTAAGTGATTATTGACAGATATACATTCTTAATTTATTGAAATTTTTAAATTTATTTTTCAGTTGACCTTCCACCACAGAAGTTATTAGATACTGATACGTCCCGAGTGTTAAAATTAGATCAGGGTGAAGATGAAGAAAAGAAAGAAAACATGGACGAAGGAACAGTGGAACAGAAGTTGAATATTGAGGTATTTATTTTACATAGCTAAATTTTTCACTTGTCAGGGGGGTGGGGTGGTTGAATGGTTTAACACATGCGCTTTAAATCATAAGGTCTGTCATTGAACCAAGTAGTCTGGTTTGCGATTCCTCGTTTGTACATGACAAGGTGTAGGATCCGGCCGGAAAAATCGTCTAGTTTTCAGTGTCTGGCAAAGAAAATCATCTAGTTTTGTGATGGGGTGATAAAAACAAGATAAAACACTTTAAACTATGTTTATAAATTTATTTAATGCTGAAAATCCTCATCCTTAGATTATTGAAGTATTGATTAACTAGTAGAATTTGTGGAGTACAAAGTGGAAGCCCTTGTACGAACCCTTATTAGAACCTTATTTCATATACTTTTACATGTAACGGACATATTCATGAAAACTTGAAATATTTTATTGACTGGGTACAAAATTCTTAGCCCAGATTTTAAGCTCACTACCAAAGAAAAGGCTACATTCTTAAGATATTTTAGTTCAAGTTTTCAAGAATACGGTCACACCGTTCTCTTGGAAGTTTCGACAATCATCGATGAATGTCAGAATTAGTATGCTATTGATGTTGGTTTTTTTTCTGACATTGAGGACAAGACATAGCTTATAAATAGAGATGATTTGACGTCTGTTTGACAGTTATGAAATAACGTCAGTTGATTCTAAAATAGAATTACAAAGGATATTCTCTGTGGACTTTTAGCCGAATTGAACCAGACGAGAAGAAATTGTGACAAGATTATCAGGACTGGGGATAAATAGTTGTCAAAATATTTGATAGTTCATTTTTATTACTGTCACATTTGACATTTACTCAAGCAAAAAATAATTATTCTACTCCGAACAATCAGGTCTGGATTTGAAACATGTCAGTCGAGATTGGTCGTTTGAATAACAGGAAATGTTTAATACAATAGTGATTAGCAGATGTACAGCGAAGATTTCTCTTGTTTTAGTTGTGCAGCTACCTTAGTTTGAACATGCAGTAACTTTTAACCGTATTTTTTTTTTGGATAAATTAAAATTAAGCATAGTACATTTTTGTATAGATGGTTGAGGATATCAACAGTTTGATTTGAAATTAGGAAATTTCTAATTTAGCCCCCGTCTTCATTAGCCTTCATTTCATTTCTACTTTGCAATCTGACGAATAAGTTATAAACATTTATGTGTTTTTGTTTGATACTTGTACCAGTATTAACCGAAAATCGTGCATTGGAGCAGTTTGATAGTGATGGTTTACATTATCTTAAGTTTTTAAAATTTGGAAACTTCTGGCTTTTAATTTATAAACATGTATGTGAAAATTCTTTCAGTATTGGTTTCTGCTTTGAAACGTGTATTTGCCTAATTTTTCAGAATTCCTGAGTTATCACACTTTTTTATGATCTTGTTAGCATTCATTTTGAAGAAATATGTTTCAGTCTTTGGCAGCCTGTATTGCATAAATGCTTGAAAACGATACAATGCGATATGACACGAACATTCTTGTATCAGAAACTGCATTTATCTGTGCAAAAATAGAATTCAAGTAATAGCTTAATCCACATTGCAAATTCTTCAACAATATTTATCTTTTAGTGCAAAGATGTTGAGATTTTCATATATTTTAAGAAACTTTTAATGAGATTAGAAGTGTTTTTGGATTTGTATATATTTTCTTTTGATAGGCCCATCTTTTCCTATTAAACAAATTGTGACATTGCCCGTTTTTCTCATGTTTTCTTGTGAAGTAAGTAAGTAAAATTTATGATCTGTTTTATTCATCTAAATTTATGTCATGGCTTGATATAATGAAATGCACTTAGCAACCATCATACTTTGCTACAGACCTATTTATTCCAGACCCCACATCAAAAGAAAGTCAGAAAATGGTTTATGATAATTTTAAAATGACTGTAAGTGGAGTGAAATGAGTTGAACAGAAATACATAACGTTTTAAATATTAAATATATTTCTTCTTTGAAGTATTTTTATAGGTGACTAAAATTTTTAAAATGGAAGATACACAATCTTTTGTTTGTTGTAAATTTAATGGGGCATGTATTTAATAGGTTATGTTAGAATAGCTTATATATAATTAGATTGGGTTTATTATGGATGTGGATTTTATATATTCAAGTATTGGATTTCATAAATAATTTTATTTTTATGTTTTAATGGGTTTTTTTTATTCTGTACTACTGAGTCAGAGAATCTGTCGTCGTCTCCGGAGACTTTACTGACTGTTTGCAATTTATGGTACAAATAAAAAAAATGTAGTATTAAGGCCTTATAAAAAATATATATTCTGGTTATCAGTTAATCTTGTGTCAATTAAAAAGTGCCGCATGACCTGTTTTTATTTTAAAAAATAGAAAATAAAAAGTCTTATTTTCGATCAGTGACAGGAAGCAAAAGGTGTACGCAACTCTAATAAATGGTTACTGACAATCATAAATGATACTGGATAATCATGAATGACACTGGATAATCATACATTCCTATAAACAACATGATGAGATAGATGTAATCAGTGTCTTGAATGAAATGAAATGAAATGGGGTTTAACGTCCTACTGTTATGCTCTGACTGGGCTAACGAAGACGGGTATACGCCATACAGTGTGCTATGAGGGAAATTTTTGCCTGGGCAGCGGCACTACAACCTGCTTTTATATCTAATTCCAACTTCCAAGGGATCTTTTACATGCACGCCAATGTATACACAAATGAAATTAAATGAAATGGGGTTTAACGTTCTACTGTTCTGCTCCTATACTGGGCTATTGAAGACGGGCATACGCCATACAGTGTGCTATGAGGGAAATTTTGCCCGGGCAGCGGCACTATCGCCTACTCTTATATAGAATTCCAACTGCCAAGGGATCTTTTACGTGCATTCCAATGTATACACGGGACCTCGGTTTTTCGTCTCATCCGAAGGACTAGACAGCTGTCCTTGTCAAGCCCTCCGTCCTGCATCACTGACAAGGGGGAACCACGCCGGAAAATCTGGATGAACTTTCTCTGCCAGTGCAGGGATCGAACATTCGACCTCCAGGCTAGCGAGCCACTTACCACGTGATCCCCTAATGTATACACAGGACTTCGGTTTATCTTCCCATCCGAACAATTAGACAGCTGTCTTTGTCAGGCCCTCCGTCTTGCTTCATTGACAAGGGGAGACCACATCGGAAAATCCCGATGAACTAGTGCCTTGAAATGTGTTGTGAGAATTCATTTAGCCCAGTAGTGACAAAATTAAAAACCTCCCTCTTGTATCAAAATTTTTTGTAAAGATTGTCCGAGAGCCAGAATGTTACATTTTTATGGCCTAAATAGTTGATCTGTAAAAGTAATAAAAGACTCCAGTCTGGTTTACAAAATAGTAAGATAATAGTGTGTGGACTTGACAATTGAGTTTCAACTTACTGTTAGGTGTGAAGTATTCTGTATGTAACTTGATTATGGTCTCTGGAATCCCGTATTCAGGTTTCATAAAAATGAAAAAATAGATTTTGATAGATGATTCGAAGAGTTGAAAACTAATGGAACTTCACACGTTCATCACATGTACAGATGTGCATTAATAATGATCATAAAATTCCTAAAGCCACTCTTTAATTCGTTACTTAAAAAAAAAAAGAAATTTTAGAGGTCTAAGAGCAGGAGGAAAGTAAATTATTTATTAGGTTTCCCAAATGGCCGTAATTTGCAACATGTGTGAAAATGTGGACCATTACTATGTATGAATCACAGGGACCATGTATAATTAAGGATGAATAACTACACATTTTTCATTGATTTGCTTTCCCCCATGGTGTCAATAAATATGTTTACAATGCTATGATTAACCAGTCTCACACCAGAACATGACAGCTCAAGAAATTTTCATTCATTCATGCATCATCATCATCAACCAGACAACTGATGGAATATTGCAACTTGTATGTTTAAATATTACCATATAATGCCATGTTGATTTTTGCAGAAATGAATACGGGTATTCCATCCAAATAATATGTCAAAGGAGATCAAATCTTTGTACATAATAAAATTGAACTTAAAGATACATTATTTAAGAGTTTAATAAAGAATAATGAAGCCTAAATTAGGACTTGCAAGAGGCAGATTTAGCTCTTGCATAATGTAAGTTTAATTGAAGTCTCTTTGAGGCATTGCTACTTTATGTTAAATTGTGACCCCTTCCATTTTACATCCACTTCGTTTAAACATATATTATTAATCCAAAGGTCAAATATGAGGAGATTTTTTAAAAGGTTTTGGAATTCTTATTTGGTATTGGGTCAATTTGAAATGAAAAATGCATAATGTTGCATTTGGATAGATGTAGACGAGTATATTTGTATTAGGGGGGGTTGGATGGCCGAATGGTTAGCACGTGCGCGCTGTATCATAAGGCCTGTCATTAAGTCAACTGGCGTGGTTTTGAATCCCTGGTTGTACGTGATGAGCAGTAGGGTCGCCTGTCCAACCTTGTGGGTTTTCTCTGGGTCCTCTGGTTTCCTCCCACTTCTAAAGACTCCTACGCGCAAGCGAATTATTGAAATAAAATTAAACCATATGTTAGTCCAGAAATGACCTAGTTTGTGTCGAGTGGACATTAAACCCCATTTCTCTCTCTCTTTCTCTCTCTCTCTCTCTCTCTCTCTCTCTCTCTCTCTCTATCTCTCTCTCTGCCTCTCTCATATTTCTATTACTAGATAATACATGTACATGTTGTGTTCAACTACCCAGTTCCCCCTTGACACAGGATGTTCATGACAGACATACATCTATAATGACCCTCTAGTACACCAGTTACAACATCAAACAAAATTTGGCTACATTTCCGTGCACTACACTTCCTACAAACCAATTAATTCTGCTTTATTTAACTCAAACGGATGTTTCCATAATGGTACGATTACATTCAGATATAATTGTAAATGTATATATTCCAAATGACAAAAAGAAAGCGCTGCTTTGATATTTTTGTTACC